ATCGATAGCTTTAAAGGTGCTCAGGAGCCTGGCAAGCACCTGTGTCACGACCACTCTCTCAACAAAAATCATGCATCGAAAAGGCTCAACATTTCTGCCAGAACCAAACAAACAAAAAATCAAACCATTGTATAAACGCTGGCCAAATGTCTACCTGTATCTCACTAGAATTTTGAGTAATGCTTTAACTTTTGAAGTTAGTAACCCAGAATTGACAGCCTTTTTGGCATCCTCGGGGCTTGATATGCTGCTGACGGAGTCTAGGACAGGAAGTCAGTTAAAATTACTGAAAGACATCTCACAAACCTCCAGGCACAAAACTCTTCAAGATGTTGTAAGCTTCTTTCAAAAACCTTTGTTCGTCATTAGTATCCTCATTGTCCACTGGGGGTTTCGTACCCTCTGGATCAATTTTTAGAAGTACCTCAACAGCCTGCAACACATAAGTGAGACCAAAACAGCTAAAAAAAATATAGTTTTTCACCAGGACGGCGCTCCACAAACCAAGGTCGAGAAGGGAGCTTGTGATCGCATTATATAGGTTTGAAAACTTGGAACGTTTTTTATTTTCGTCGCTTAACTGACATGTGCCGATACAGCTTCTTTGCTGATACTGCAATAACCACGTAAAACACAGACAGATAGATAATGACATTTACCTTGTCTAACAAATCAGTGAGGCATCTGCGCAATTCTTTAAAACAGTGGTGAGCTTTGTCGTAGTATAAGTTTCGGTAAAAAGGGGTTGGCACTTTCTCTTCAAGCTCTGCTCGAGATGTTATTGTGTAAATCTAGAAAAGCCAGCACTTAGTTTGAAATTAAAACACGCAAAAAATATATTACCTTGGAGTCTAAAAGGCTCTCAAGATCTCTCATCTCCTTGCAAAGCTTCCCATCCTCACAGGTAGAGACTACGTAGATCACGTTAGAGAGATGTGTAAAAGCTCACTGTTGTACCTTTCGTTGCGACGAGAGATCCAGTCATTCCAAAAATTCTCGGTTTAAGTTTCAACGTCGAAGTATGATAGTAAGTCTGGAAACAAAACAGCGAGTAAGAATCCAGGAGAGAGCACGAGGCATACCTTCATGACCGAAGCATATGGATGGTTATTTTGAGCCCTGTGGCACTCGTCAAAAATCAAAACTTCGATCATTTCCATTCTGATTGCCGATAGCTGGAGCGAGTTAAACAGAACTTGCGCGGTCATCACTAACACCTGAAAAGAGAATTTCGATCGACAAGGCCACAAGAGCTGGCAACGCCAGTACCTGATGCGAATCAATCTCCTCGCTCCATTTTCTAACGTCCCAAGTATCCATCTGGCCGCCATGATAAACCCCCACCTTTAAACGTGTGCTTGACGATATAACGTTCGCTTGCTGCAAGAACAATGAGATGAGGCCACACCACCGAAGATAGCGAAAAAACACTAAAGAGTTACTCTACCTGATCAGCAAGAGCCACAGTCGGAGTGAGAAAAACACCGATGCGCTTCTCCTCGGGCATCGAGAGACGATCCGCTAGCTTATTGAAGAGCATCGCGGCAATGTGTGTCTTCCCAGCCCCGGTCTCAAGGAAAACGATTGTGTTCTCCTTCAAAACTTTCTCAAGAACTTCCAGCTGATAGCTGCCATGCAATGCACAGAAAACGAACAATGTGAGCGAAAATACTCAAGAGCAGCTCTCACCTCCTCGGCTCAAAATCCACCACAGCAGGCCTTGCAGCTGGAGCAGCGATTATCTCGCATTTCTCAGTGACTACGATCTTCGATTTCTTAGCCTTGGATGCCTGCTTCTGCGCCTTGCGCTTCTTACAGTTGAGCACCAGCGGATCATCTGGAATTTCCATCGCTTCCTGGCCTGCCCGCAGCGCGAGCTAATGATAATTTTTCAGGGGAAAATCGACCATGACCTAGTCTAGTCGAAAAGGATATGCGACGTAGTGGAATATTCTCCCGGAACCTTCTCTTGATTAAAACACCAGTACTTGCTTCGGTACGCTCCCTTCTTTCCCCAGTGCCTTTCTCAAGGCTCTCTCGAAGTCCTCAAAACCAATCTTTTCAGTGCTGCCAGGAAAGGAGAAAGAGAGCCTAGAAATTAGCAACAAGGAAGAAAGAAAGCTTACACGTATTTAAGCCTTCCTGCTTGGACGAGCTCGATCAAACTCGACGCCATCGCCACCATCTCCTCTCTCTTGTGTTCCTGGATCCATTTCTGGAGCCAAAATCCACGAAGCCGAATGTCCTGCATGACTCGAAACTTGGTTAGTTTTTGCGAGCACAAAAACTTTTCTTTCTTTTCTCCCGTACCTTGAAGATGAATGCTGTCGTCGATACCGTGACTGGTTTCTTCGACATTCCACCATACGTGACCATTGTACCGCTGGGCCTGGAATTGTTTTAGTATCGGTTAGAGCTGGAAAATCAGATTTTTTACGTACGCCAGGAGCTTTAAGACGGCACCGGCAGATGCTCCACCGATGCAGTTGAGTCCCAGCTTTGGAGTCCCGCGATTAGCCTGTTTCCTCGAACTGCTTAGAGAAATGTCTTAAGAAAGTGATAGCATGCTTACCAAGATGTCCTTGAAGCCGGGAGAATCGAACTGGCTGTCTAACACGACCTCGGTGGCGCCCAGATTCATCAGCTTTTCTTTTGCTTCTTCGATTCCCGGTCTAAAACCAAAAGAAAAATAAAGAGAAGGAACACGCATGAAAGTACGCATTGTGTTATGAAGAGTGCTGAAGTTGCACGAACCTGTCACGAACGATATTTATTGTTTGTAGACCTTTCGCATGAGCAATCTGTATCACGCACTGCCCGACCATGCTCGTGGCTCCATTTTGCACCACGACATCCCCTGGAGCGCATAAACCATTTAAACTACCAATACAATCAGTATTTTTAGTTTCAACAAAAAACACGATCGATCTTACCTGGTTCTAGAGCAGAGAAGTCCTCTAGCATTCTGAAAGCCGTGCACGGATTGACGGAGATGGTTGCCAGGTATTCGATCGGAACATCGTCCGGGACTTTACACCAGGAAGTTTCTTCCTTGAGTACGTGAGTGCTCCAAGTTCCTACAAGCGAGACGCACGAGTAAGGCTGTGGAAACACAAGAAAAAAGGTCTCTACCAACACCGGAGTACGTTGGAATCACCCAGTCACCAACACGTAAATTTTCAACGTCCGATCCAACCAGCTCAACTTGTCCAACACCTTCTCCACCAGCAATTGCCGGTGGTGTAGGCCGCATTGGGTAAACTCCTGGAACAAAAAGCACAGGAAAAAAAAAGAAAATGAATCGAAGGCGGGAAAAAGCAAGGAGCTGGAAACATGAAAAATCGATAAACCTGGGAATGAAATCGAAAGAGAAGCGATAGATGAGACGCTCTTGTCAAGAGAAGAAAAAATTCCTCTAAGCTTACTCGCCAGAAATTCCATACCTTCGATTCTATTGATGTCCGATGGATTGATTGGCGCCGCAAGCATCTTCACACACACCTCCCGGCGATCGAGAGCACGCCCTGGAACATCCACAATCCTGGCGCCATAGCGAACAAAAATATTGCTCATCAAACAAGCCGATCGAATCAATGCCTACTTGAGAACTTCATCGGGAGATCCATGGCACTCGTACACGGCAGCTCTTGCTGGCGGCGAGAAAGGAGCCGAGGAGAAGCCGCGAATGCGAAGAATCCTTGCCACATTCTTCCCGCGCCACACCATAGCTACTAAAACCCTAAGAGAAAGGGTTTAAACAAGTTGAAGCAAGCAAATGATAGATTTTAGATGGTTTCTCAATACAAGAACTTATGCAAATAATTTTCTTTTCTTTTCCCGCAATGTGTGTAGTGGTGAGGAGTGGAACTCTTTGCTCTTGTTGTCAGCACATATCAATCATCAGTGTCGCCGAGACTCCATCGAAAGATCACTTGGACGCCGCTGGCGAAGATCTGGAGCTCACTTTGGACGGGCCATTCGCCAAGATCTTCGCTCCCTCGGGAGAGTTGATATCCGACCAAGCATCGATCCATTGCACCATGGCATCCGCGAGCTTGGCGAAGTAAGGATCCACGCCGTTAAGCTTGTCCTTGACTTGCTTGGCGAGCTCGATGTAGCAGTGCTCCACAGTGGTGCACTCCTTTGGGAGGCTCACCTTCTGAAAGAAGGGGATGATCTCCTCCTGCCAGAAGATCCCCTTGTACTCCTTCTTGAGGTTGACGAAGGGATTGCTCGCCTTGCTGTGCCAAATGTAAGGCAGGCCGGTCTTGACACCATAGCCAAGATGATCACAGATCACCTGTGTAAAAAGCAGAAAAATGCGGTAAAGCTCTTCGATCTGCCTAGCTCAAGGAAAAAAAGAGATTTTTTGCATACCTTGGCACACCATCCGGCCCACATATCGTCGTAGCGACCAATTGGCTGGCCGTCACCCATGAGACCGAAGTACATAGCCGGCCCAATGAGCTCCCGGTTGAATCCCAGATTCATCCCACACATTGGAAACAAAGTTCCCTTGGGAATCGTCATCACAGCGTCCACGTATCTGTAAAGCAGATCTTACATCAGTGACAACGATACGGAAAGGAAAGAACAGATCGCGATCAGAAAAAAAGCTACCTTGTGTTCCTTTCAGCTGGCTTTACTAGCTGCGTAGGAGCATCGTAATCCGGAATGTTGAGCCAGAGGCCGTGGGAGATGGCCGTCGTCACCCCCTCGCGAAGGCTGAAAGGATAGCCGCGGACGAAATCGGTGCCTTCGCGGTATGGATCATACAGCGTGTTGAAGAAGTACGGCGTCGAAGGGCTCAACAAATTCTTGATGTGCTGCTCCAGAGCGTTGATATCCTTGCCGGAAGGATCCTTGGCAACCTGGGAAACATCAGATCTCACCGAGTTAGCTCCAAAAAGAGATTCTGTCTACCAGCAAGGCACCAACAAACCAAAAAACTCGACTGTGCACCTAACCCAGCTGCAAGGAAAAATGCAGGAAGCCCGGATCTAGACAGCCACCAAACAGATCTAAGACTAAAGAGCTCAAGTGACCCCATCGACAGATCTATGGCACAGCCACCGAGATCTGAAAACTAATCCAATTCTCATCAGCAGCATTGCCGAGGAGTCGTAAGATCTCAAAAACCAAGAAGGATAAAACGACCAAAACTGGAAGAGTGAAGAGATCCAACTTACAAAACAATCGTCATCAATGGTGTAGATGTACTTCTTCTTGGAAACCATGAAGCCAAAGCAGCGGCAGGCGCTATCCTTGAAGGAGATGCACGAAGCCTTGGCGCCCAGGACGCGATTGATGTCATTGCGGTTGTAGAGCTCGTAATCGAAGCCCTCGGGCACCTTGATCGTCTTGCTGGGATCCCCGTCCTGGACGATGATCAGATGGTAGGGCTGGAAGAAGGGCCGCCACATCTCCAGGAAATCCAGGTTTCGGATCGTGGGGATGACGATGTCGAGCTCATCCTTGAGCGCCATGGCCGCCTCTGCCGCTGCCGCTGCCGCCGCCTGCTCAATCGATCGATCAGGCGCGAGAAGTCGCCGCCAAGAGAGCGCAGATCTGGGAGGGAGAGGAATAAATGACCTAGGTAGCAGTGGGGACGAATTCGGCTGCTCCCTCCTCAGATTCTATTTACTCGGCTAAAAATGTTGACCGGCATATTCCAAGAGCATCCGATCGGGGGATATTCTCGCCGTATGCCAGTCACGGGTAGAAGGAAGGAGTTGCGAGGAGCGATCGTGTTGTGCCAGTTCAATGCTGGAAGCGTGTGTTGTTGTTTAGCTACTTATTTTAGGGTTCTTGGACAGCGAGACAGGCGAAATTTTCTTCTTCGGTCGTTTGATCCGGACAGGGGAATGGGGCCACCACAGGAAGCGCGTTGCGGCACGCCAGCGTGCGAGCAAAGGCGGACGTCCTCATCGCGCGGTTCCGCGATTGGTCGATCGGTCGATTCTTGATTTTGATTGTGCTCTGTCTCCCTAGGGCTTATGGCGGCTTGTTAGGGCTCGTCGGCTCTCTCTCGCAATGGCGGCAGCTCCAGCGCTGCTCGTCTTCCTCCTCGTCTTTGCCGGATCGCTCTCGACCGCGCGAGCGATTTACTGCGGCGACGATGATTGCTACGATCTCCTCGGGTAAGCATAATGTAGTAGGATCAGATCCATCCATAGTGGTTTTTCTTTCTTCTTTCGTTTGTTACAACGAAATTCTTTTCTTTCAGTGTAACACAGGCTGCTACTGGAGCCGAGATCAAGAAGGCTTACTACAAGCTCTCACTCAAATAGTAGGTGTGCTTCTCCGGTTTTTTCTTTTCAGCAGAGTTTCGTCTAACGCCACGCATTCCCGCAGTCATCCTGATAAGAATCCAGATCCAGATGCAAAGAAGCTCTTTGTGAAGATTGCCACTGCGTATGAGGTATGCCATGGTCGTGTTTCTGTTGTTTTCTCAAGCTGCGAACTTTTCTTTCAGATACTCAAAGACGATGTCAAACGAGAGCAATACGATTACGCTATCGCGCATCCTGAACAGGTGAATCTCTTACGTTTTTCTCTTGAACTTCCATGAACGAACTGCTGCCATTTACTGTGACAGTTTTTCTACAACACTGCTCGCTACTATCAAGCATACTATGGACCTCAAGCGGTAAGGCAATCTAATCACTTTCTTTTGTCAAATTGTGTCAACGGAAACACTTTTGTCAGGACCTGAGAATCGTCTTCGCCGGCCTACTTGTGATTTTGTCGGTCTTCCAGTATGGAAACCAGTGGACTAGGTACAAACAGGTATCTAAAAACTCGATTCTTTTGTTTCTTTCTCTTAGTGGGGGCTGTGCGGAGTAGATGATGGAACTTGTGAAGCAAACTCCAGCCTACAAAAACCGGTTGAAAGCATTGGAGCTGGAAAGAGGTGGCAGCACGAACAATAAGAAGAAAAGCAGCAAAACAAAGAGGTAACACATGCAGACACTTACGATATGCGTGGGCAAACTTGCGTTGTTTTTCTTTCCAGGGAGGATGCATCGAAGGAGATCAGTGAATCCCTGGAGCTGCACGTTGAAGGCATCGAGAGGCCATCTGTCTGGACATTGATTGCCGTTCGCTTCCTTCTGCTTCCTTACGCCTGTGGAAAGGTTTTTCTCCTCTTTTTTTCTGATTTGTTCTCTGACGAAACAAGCTGTTCGTTTGCAGTTGGCACTGTGGCAACTGCGATGGCTGTGGAGATATCAAGCGAAAAAGCTGGATCTTGCCTGGGACGACGCTGCATATCTCACCCGGCGCAGCCTTGGAATGCATTCAAAGGCCTGGAACAGCATGAGTAAGCCAGGCAAAACCGCCCTTTTATCATTTCTTTTGACCATTTCTCGCTGTATTTCCAGACGAACTCTCCAAGGAACAGCTCGTCTCGAAGCACTTGTGGATACGAGAAAACATGGAAGAATTTAGAACCGAAACGAGGAGAGAGTCAAGGCGCAGGCGATGACAAATCGCTTTTGTTTTCGTCGATAAGAGCGTTGTTTTGTTTTGTTTATCAAGATTCTTGACGTTGATCGACAAAAGATGCGAAAGAAGAGAGAGACCTTAAAACAATGTTATTAACAGCAGAGAAAAGCCACACAACTCCAATTAATAGATTTTAAAAGAAGTAAAGAAAAATAAAAATGTGCCTAGCAGAAGGGGGACGAGGAAGGGAGAAACCACCCTACGATGAATAAATACTCCACCACTTTTGGACGGGTAAACCTGTGTGTAATGTGATGATGAGACGATGATCTTGTAGAAGCCGAGCACTGATCTTTCTCCTTTTCCCTGTCTTTCTTTGTTCGAATTCCTGTGTTCTTCGCCTTTCAGATCTTGTCGATCTTGTCCGCCTTCACCACCGGGTTCGCCTTTGCAATCGCGTCCCTCCCCACGGACTTGTAGTCGTATGTGCAATTGTGCTTGTCCGAGTAGCGATGGAGAGCGCAGTAGACGTTGCCGCAGCGGCAATTGAATCCCGTCAATCCCACCCTCTTGTTGCAAGCATTGCAGCGATTCGGCGGTCGCGAGCCGGATGCCTCCGGGGAAGCCACCAAGGCATCAGCCACGCCGTCACCGGACGAGGGATTCATCTCAGTCACAGCCTCTGGTAAAACGATCTGCTCGTCCAGTGCCACGCCTTGATCCATGCCAGTAGCGTTGGCGGTGGCGGTGGTGGCGGCGGCGATGGTGGCGGCGGTCGTGGCGGCGGCGGCTGTAGCGGCGGAAGAATTGTTGTTGGCGTTGGTGTTGTTGATAAGGAGCGGTAGCTGCTCTAGGGCGTTCTTGGCGGTGGACACCTTGGCCTGTGACAGAACCACGTCCCGGTAGCACTTGGAGCACAGATTCATCGTCGCCTTGCTGCCAAAGAAGCCGCAATTGTTGGCGCACAGAATCGGGCCCTCGGGTGGCTGGCACCCCGTCTCGTCCTGGTCACACTTCCAGCTCTCCTGTGCCATTGATCCCACAGGGAAGGAAGCGCTGCTGCTGCTGCTACCACTGCTACTGCTGCTGCTGCTGTTCCATCCCTCGATCCAGTTGAAGCTACCACCAATCAATTCTCCTCTCGACGTCTCACTCCCAATTCACGAGGTCGAATGCGTGGGACATCGCTGCGGCGAAAGCGTGGGTTAGTTCCAAGGAACCTTTGAGCTCCACACAGCAAGGAAAAAGAGGAAAAAACAACAAAGAACAAAAAAAAACCTAAGCACCACAAACAGTTACCAAAAAAATGCAAGACAAAGCGGTGCAATCCACCTCGCAATTCACAAATCTCTGGGACTGGAGCGGCGAGTACCTGGCGCGGATCTCTCGGGCGGCGCCGAGGCGGAATGGATCGCTGGCGCGCCGCTGGTGAGGGCGCGACTGGAAGAATCCTCTGGCGCCAGAGCAATCTCCAAACCCTAGGGCGCGGGCGCGCGCGCTGGCGACGACGACGAGGAAACCCTTGCCCTTGCCCTGGCTATGGCGAATGGAGACGCAAACAAGTAGCCAAGCATATATGAAAGAAAGCAGTCTTTTTAGAGGGGAGGGGCATTCTTTCAATACGTGGCATGGGCGGCCATGCTGACTCAGCATGCTCGATCGGAGGGGCGCCGATTCCTGACCGTTGGATCGTCCGGGATATTCCGCTTGGCTATGCCGTCAGTTATCCTGACGGAATGTTCGTCTCCCTATTTAGGGCTTTTGGTTGTGGCTAGGGTTCTTCCAAGCTAGGTCATGGCGGCGGTGCGGCGGGGCGGGAACGAAGATGGCGACCAGCACGTCGTCTTCGAGACGAGTGCCGGCGTCGAGGCGATCACGCAGTTTGAGAAGATGGGGATCAACGAGAGCCTTCTCAGAGGTGTGTTTGAGTATGGATTTGAGCGACCGTCGGCGATTCAGCAGAGGGCGCTCATTCCGATCATGAGGGGCCGGGATGTCATAGCTCAAGCGCAATCCGGCACAGGCAAGACATCCATGATCGGCATTGCGGTGAATCAGCTCATTGACACTAGCGTGAGAGAGTAAGCTCTTTTTTCGCTTTTCTTGCGGGCAAGAGCTAAAAAATCCGATTTTTTCAGGGTCCAAGCGCTAGTTCTCTCGCCGACACGCGAGCTTGCCGACCAGACTGCCAAGGTCGTTCTAACACTGGGCAGCCACATGAACGTTCAAGCTCATACGTGTATCGGCGGTAAGAGCTTTAGCGAAGACATTAGAAAGCTCGAGCACGGAGTTCATGTCGTGTCTGGAACCCCGGGTCGTGTCTACGACATGCTCAAGCGCCGGACTTTCAGGACGAGACACGTCAAGATTTTAGTTCTGGTGCGTAAGTTTCTCTTTTCTTATTTATGGGTCTCATGCTTTTTGTGCTGCTTTCCAGGACGAATCAGATGAAATGCTCAGCAGGGGATTCAAAGAGCAAATCATCGATTGCTATCGCTACTTACCTCCGGATCTACAAGTTTGTATTTTTTCCTTTTTCGTCCATTTAGTTCGCGTGCTAATCGCTTTTTCCTGCGCACAGGTGGTCCTTGTTTCCGCTACTCTACCGCATGAGATTCTTGAGATGACCAACAAGTTCATGACTGATCCTGTTCGCATCCTTGTCAAACGTGATGAGTTGACGCTAGAGGTGAGCCCGATTGCGAAAGTCGAGATATTTATTCATGACATCTTGCGCAGGGAATCAAGCAGTTCTTCGTGGCTGTCGAGAAGGAGGAGTGGAAGTTTGACACGCTGTGCGACCTCTACGACACACTCACCATTACCCAGGCCGTGATCTTTTGCAACACGAAAAGGAAGGTGGAGTGGCTGTCGGAGAAGATGCGGAGCAGCAACTTTACCGTGTCGTCGATGCACGGAGAGATGCCGCAGAAAGAAAGGGATACCATCATGAAGGAGTTTCGCGAGGGACAAACGCGGGTGCTCATCACAACCGATGTCTGGGCTCGGGGTCTGGATGTACAACAGGTATGCGTGTGTTCTTCGAGTCTTTCTTTCGTTTCCTCTATGGGATTTAACTTCTTTTCGTTTCCCAGGTCTCTCTGGTGATCAACTACGATCTTCCAAACAGCCGAGAGTTGTACATTCACAGGATTGGACGCTCTGGACGGTTCGGCAGAAAGGTAGTTTTACACAGGCCAAAGATTAGAGATCATTGCTCACACCATTGTTGCAGGGAGTAGCGATCAATTTCGTGAAGAACGATGACATTCGAATCCTCCGAGATATCGAGCAATACTACAGCACACAAGTCGATGAAATGCCAATGAATGTGGCCGACTTGATATGAGCGAGGCGAAAGAAGCTTACACTACTTTAACAAACTGGGCTTCCTCTCTTTTGTAATTTTACTGTGAAGAATTTTGTACTAGTTAGAGCTAAAGAAAATTTTTGAAAGGCTTTGTGTGTGGCCGTTAAGGCGCTAGGGTTTGTGGGAATGGCGACCTCGCCCGCGCTATCCAGGGGCCGCAAGACGCCATCGCCGACGCACGACAACGAACCGCCCCTCGGCGACATCATCGTGCTCAAGGAGCCCGTCTATCGGCTGCAATGCGTGGAGGAGGAGGCGGCGCACGCCACGGAGATGGGGGATTACGACAAGGCTCTCTATCTTCGAATGCAGGTGAGAATCCTCCTTGCGGCGCCCGGGAGGGGTGTAACCTCGCGGTTCCAGGGCGTGGCGCTCGCGAAATTGTGCTTGGGGGATCCGACGACGGTGCTGGTGGAGTCGGAGGATTTGCTGGCCAAGGCGCACCTTAATCTGAGCAGCACTTACCTTGAGATGGTACCTTTCATCTGAAAATTCATAAGAACAAATAATCCACTCCATGCGATCTTTGTAAGTGGATTGCTTCTTGGAGAACTGGAATTCTATCGCTGATGCTTGCGTTTTCGTGTGAAGCCAGACGTATTCAGATCAAGCTTGCTGGCATGCACAGAAGGTAACGATCGTGGCATGTTTCACATGTTCACATGTTTTTTTCTTCTGTTTTCCAGGCAATGGAGCTTTGTGATCCCAGAAGAGGTGGCGAATCATCTAGCAATCTGCTCGTTCTAGCTCTTCTCGGGCTTGCCAAAGGACTCTTACAAAGTATGTATGGTGCTACTCATAACATTTCGGAAATGTGATGCTTGCAGTGCAGAAGGAGATCTCAATTGCATCAACTATCTTCAAAGGGCGCTCGTTGTCAACCAAGATCTTCATGGAGAGGAGGTCTCAAAAGCCACGCTTCTTATGTTTAAGTTTCTGCAACTCTCTGCATTTTACAGGATGTTTCAAATGCCGCGATTCATGAAGCTTACGGTGACTACTACATTTACCAAGGAGACAGTAGAGATGGAGGTCCCGCCAGGAAGTCGCCCCAACCGCGGGATGAATCCGGCGTGGTCATGAGCGTCATCGATTACGAGCGCAATGAGTTCGAGAAGGCCATCGAGGAGTATCACAAGGTGGCTATCAAGCTCATCTCCGGGTTCTCATTAATTAAGGCCTTTCCAACTTGTGTTTTGGCTAGAGGCAAGGGAGCTCGTCCAAAACGATACTGATGGTCCTCCAGTTCCTGCCGAAGAGCAACCTCCAAAGCTTTCTCTGGCGTCAATCTTCACCAAGATAGCCAGGGTAACGAGCCCTTCAAAGTCTCTGTGCGCATCCTGGTGTGTATTCAGGTGCCACTGGCATGTGACAGACACGCGTGAAACAGACGAGGCACGAGGATGCCGTCGAGTGCTACCAGAAAGCTCTTGCAATCTACACTTCTTGCGCATTTCCGAACGAGCCAGCAATCGCACAACTTAACTACGAGCTTGGCTTCACGTATCACAAAGTCAAGGTAAGCACGGCAGATTGATTCTCAATTTTTCTTCCTCGATTGTGCAGAAGTACGAAGAAGCCTTGAAAGTCCTCGAAAAGGCTGCACAGTTTTGCGAGCAACAGCACGACACGGGCGGAGAGCACCCGCTAACCTTGCAAGTTATGAAGCAGCAAGGGATCACCCTCTACGACATGGGCGATTTGCAGCCAGCGCTCCAGACGTTTGAGGAGCTTGTGCAAATGCAGCGGACGCAGCACGGCGGTGGCAGCGTCATCGTTGCCGAGGTATCCATTTTTTCTCCAGGGGATGATGATACTCTTGTTTACTTCTTGACACTCACTGCTCTATGCTTGGCAGACGCTCAAGTACTTGGGAGACGTAAGCATCGCCATGAAGAGCACGGGAGAAGCGTGCAGCTACTACAACCGCGCGCTGAAGATCCTGCGCAAGAGGCTGGGATCGCACGACGAGACGGTGAGGCAACTGGTGAGCTACATCAAGCAACTCAACCTCGAGTCTGGAGGTGGCGGCGGCGGTGGAGGAGGAGGAACGCAGAGGCTGCAAGAGGCGTACAGGCCAGCCGGGCCTGCGATTCCAGAGGGACCCGAATAAAAAAAAAAAACGACTCTAGTATATTCTACAGCAAAACCTATAGATTAGGGCTCTTGCTACTGGAGTATATTCTGCGAATATTTACTGGTATTAATTTCATGATTTAATTTAATTTTAAACGAATAGTGCCAGCGAAGAACCCTAGTTCTTCTGCGATGGGAGCATTTCCCGCTTGGAGCGCTTGCCGGCGGAGATTCTCGCCCGATGACGCCTTCTTCAATGCAGGGAATGTGGAGCGGGAGCTTCAGGCGAAGCAGGTGATCTCGAAATCTCTTGCCCTTGCTCGATCGCTGGCCCCGTTTCGTCCGCGCTTCTTGCTTCCCTAGGTCTCGCTCAATATTTCCGAGGAGGAGAGAGCATACATTGGTCGGATCGAGGACGAAGACTGCTGGTATGTATGGTGTGATCGAATTTGTGGCAGCATTTGATTCTTTCTTCTTCTCGTTGCTCGATCCATCCGTCCAGGCTCGTGAATTGCTCCATCGCTGGCTGTGGCGCTCCGCTGCGAGGCGTGGAAGAGCTCGAAAACCACCACCTCATTCGCCACACGGCGGTGTGCTCGGTTTGCTCCTCGTGCTTCCCAACAAAGCGGCTCCTCAGTCTACACATTTCCGAAACTCATGACTCTTTCTTCAAAGCCAAAGTGGCTCGAAATCATCCCATGGTAAGCTCAAGCTCGATCAAACTTTTAGTTCCTTCTTTCACGCAAGTTCTTATAAGCTTTCGATTCTCTTCTTCTTTCAGTTCTAATGCATTGTTTTTTTCCTTTCCCCAGTACGAGTGCCTTGTGGAAGGATGCCCCGGCGTGTTCTTCTCGGACAAATCCCGGAAGCAGCACCTGGTAGACAAGCACAAGTTCCCGTCCAGCTTCCACTTCCACAAGAGCACCAAGAATCATCCATCGCAGAAGCAGCGGCAGCGTTTCAAGGCCAAGAGCTACATGGACTCGGCTCCAAAGCCTGAGGAAGCGGCCATGAGTGTGGATGTGGACGAGCTCTCCAGCGCCATCTCCAAGCTCACCACTGCTGCCGAGAGCGATCACGTCCCCCAAAGCATCAGCTTTGGACGAAAGCGCGGCGGTCTCGTCACTCGTCACTCTCGCCATCCTAGAAACTAGTGCAAGATCATGGATCATTTCGATGATACGAATTTTTCCTCCATTCTCGAAAGGTACGGTTGTATATTTCTTTTGATAAGATAGACGAAGTATCAAAAATTCCAATACCAGGTGTAAGCAAGCGTGTCTGAGCCCAGGGTCGAACTGGGGACCTCTAGTGTGTAAGACTAGCATGATAACCAACTACACCACCCAGACTTAATTAGCGGTATTTACATGAATATACTAATTATTTTAATAATCACGTCACTCGTCTCCATCACTCCCTAAAACTTCTTCGTCGCGGAGCTCATGGCCTTCCCCACCAGCGATCATCTTCCTAGAAGTCATCAAACACGAAAAAAAGGAGAACCAAATCGAATCGGATCGAATCGATCAAGCATCAGTTCACCTCTCGAGAATGAACTTGCCCTCCTTGTACTTTTGATCCTTCTCCTGGGCAGTCTCCTGCAAAGATCTCACTCTCAGTTCTTCCCAAACTTGCCACTCTTTTCTTCGCTGATTGATTGCTTACATATTTCCAGCCCAAGATCTTCCGGCAGCAAATGCAATAGATGTCCGCGACCGTGTGCAATCCAGTCGTCATCTGTCGCTCTTCGAGCTTTCCAATCCCCACATTCACCCTGAAGAAAAAAATTCCATGAGAAAGAGCTCAAACTTCCAAAAACTCTCTCTATCGTCTTACACTGTCTTGAAAAGATAGGCCGTCCCATGGCGGCAGTGGAAATTCTGCAAGAAACAAGGAACACGGATAATCGCAAAGAATTTGAGGAGATCGAGGATGCCTTTGCCATGAGATCGCCGGGCGTCGCGAGATGGCTGTGGCAAATGCGGCAGCTGTAGATTTTGCCATCGAGGTGGATCAAGCACAGCCTTCCCATGGCCTTAAACCCTTGGATGGCCTCACCTTGCGCAAGAAATTCACGATCAGTGAAGAAATGAGTGATCGATTGACCGAGCTGAGAAGCCTTTCACTAATCCTAGACCTCCATAGCCACAATGACCTAAAACTCTGTTACTAGGGCTCTAGGTAATGTTGCCAAGTTCTTCAGTCCCTCAGGTAGATCCTGGGAAGGAGGAGGAGGCGCAGCTGCTGGAATCCTCGAAATATCATAGATCCGACGCCAATGGAGCAGCGCCGGCGCAATTCGGCGCTCCCAGCAATGGATCCGCGACGGGCTACTCGATCCTGGAAATATCCACAGGTGAACGGCAATCCAGCAGCAGTAGCTCGGGATCTGGCGTCGCTGGCGCCGTTTTCAACCTCGCGACGTCGATCATCGGCGCGGGGATCATGGCGCTGCCAGCGACGATGAGAGTTTTGGGGGTTCCGCTGGGCGTGGCGATGATCCTGGCGATGGGCGTGCTCTCAGAGATTAGCTTGGAGATTGTGGTGAGATTCTCGACGCAGCTCAAGGCCTGGAGCTATGGTGAGATGGTAGGCGCGGCGTGTGGACGAGCAGGGAAGCTCGTCTCGCAGGTGTGTATCATAGTCAACAACAGTGGCATTCTCATCGTTTACTTGATCATCATAGGTGATGTTCTCTCGGGATCTTCCAGTGGCTCTTCCCACCACCCGGGCCTCCTCAAGAGCTTGGACAGAAGATTGGTGCTCCTCGCCACCATGTTGCTCGTCCTAGCGCCGCTCTCGTCGCTGAAGCGCATCGATTCACTCCGCTTCTCCTCCGCGGCATCGGTAGCTCTAGCGGTGGTGTTCGTCATCCTCAGCTCCGGGGTGGGGGTGGTGAAAGGGATCCAGGGAAAGCTCACGACTCCGCGGTCACTTCCGTCGCTGGCATCCAGGAAATCGGTGCTGGAGCTCCTCACCGTTGTCCCGATCATGACCAACGCATTCATCTGCCACTTTAACATCCAGCCGATCTACTGCGAGCTCAAGAACAGGTCTGCGGCTAGGATGAACAAAGTTGGCCGGATCTCCACGCTCCTGTGCATGAGCGTCTACGTCGCCACCGCGCTGTCGGGCTACCTCCTCTTTGGCGAGTCCACGGCCTCGGACATCCTCTCCAACTTCGACCACGACCTGGGGATCGCGGACAGCACGCTCATCAACGACGTCATTCGCATCGGCTACGTCCTCCATCTCATGCTCGTCTTCCCGGTGATCCACTTCTCCCTCCGGCAAAACGTAGACGCGATCCTCTTCCCGGATCCAAAGCAGCAGCTCGCCGACAGCACGGTCAGGTTCTGGGCTCTCACGGCGTCGCTGCTCGCGATCGTGTTTGTGGGATCGGCCTTCATCCCAAACATCTGGATCGCGTTCCAGTTCACGGGGGCCACCGCGGGGCTGTCTCTGGGATTTATGTTCCCGGCGCTGGTGGCGTTGAGGTTGAGCAAGGCGAGGGAGAAGGGATTGGAGTGTCTGGCGTGGACAATGCTTGTCCTTGCTGGGGTGGCCAGCTTCCTTGGACTGACGACCAACATTTACAATGTTGTGACGCACCATGTGGATTGATTCAAAACAATATAAACGGATATACTGTCAACGTTGGAAGATTCTTATCTTGTATAACCCAACAATGAACATTAGAATTCTTTGATGAATGCAAGCCTAGGCAGATGACCAAGATCATCTCAGGAGGATCAGCTCCGGAGTACCTCTTTTTCGATGGGATCAAGACCTCTCACTATCCTTTTTGACGACAGACCGTCAGCGTCTATTGATCATCCGCTGGATCGCAAAGCTGCCTCTCAGGATCATTGTCACCAACATCTTCACGGTCAATGGCCTGGGATACAAGCTCTATCTATGTCAATGATTAACCATTAATATAAGCCGGCCTAGCTCAGCTGGTAGAGCGCAAGGCTCTTAACCTTGTGGTCGTGGGTTCGATCCCCACGGCCGGCGAAACTGAGCGATGAATCTGTCGTGAGCTTTCAGGTGGATATCATCTGCAAGCAATCCAGCGGTCCTTCCCCGCAAAATGTTGACCGCTTGACCATTGGCTAGGGTGGTTTGACCAAGGATATGCTACGCCGATTCTTTGCCCTATCCCACATGCCGAGGCGTGGAATAAAGGCACAAGAGCAGTATATAAGCCAGGGCCTGGGGAAGTGATCCATACTTACCTGGACGGGGTTTATTGGTGATCATGAAGGCCAATGGCCTAGGTTCGGCCTTCCCATCGCACTCTGGCTTGGCCGGCCTACCATCTTCCCAAAGTGGAGGAGTGGACGTCGTAATTTGTGGAAGTTGAGGGCTCGCGTACGCGCGGCCCTCTCCAAATTCTATAATTAATAAGTTGATTCTCTAGTATCCTCGTGCTCCGTAAACCCCTAAAACCCCTTCGTTTTGTTCTGTTGGCATCGGCTTCAAAGAAGAGATTTGAGCACAACTTTGGAGAATTGATAGATAGGTCCGCGACGCAAAAGTCATGGAGTGGATCGCGATCCGAGCATGAAACTTGCAGAGAAGAACAAGGCTGGAAAGCAAAACAATGCTGCCATTTTGTTGCCGATCACCGATCACCTTTACTGCCATTCACTGCGAGTTAACAAGTAGGTCGAAAGGTCGCCGCCATGCAAATCGAAAGTATTTCTAAGATGAAAGTGGACTAGATACCATTTGAAGAATTTATAATATGTATTATTGTTCTACAATGAATCTAATCACGACCTTACCGTGTCACGGATGAATTCAGCGATGGGAACAAACTGCCTGTTCGTCCAGCCGAAATGCCTTTTGGAGAACTTCTTCCGCGACACCACTCCCGAACATGGACGGGGCTATGGTCTGAAACCCGGGCTTCTCGCTGTTTAGCACTGCAAAAGCCGACGCTGGACCCTCTCCCACATTGAGCTGCCAGTGGATGAGACCCCTCGGGAAGATCATCACCTCGCCCTTGGAGTAAACTCTCGCAAACGCCCTGTTGGCTGTGTCGATGAATCCAGCGTACAAGCGACCCCGGGTGATGTAGACGAACTCGGAGGCGCGAGGATGCGTGTGAGGCGGGATGAGGCCACCCTCCACAAAGTCGAGCCGAGCAAACGCGAAGCCCTGCGTGTGGAGTCCCGGGAAAGTCTCGACGAAGGCTGGAGTGACGCTGGTGCCCGAGGGGCCCAGGCTGGGGTCGGCAGGAGTGAGCAAGCCGCTGAAGACGAAGTCGTCGATCGTCACGTTGGCATACGGCTTGCAGGGATACTCGTTGAGCTGCGGATAGTCGAGGTCCGCTACACAAAAGTCCCGGACAGGATCGGGATCGGAAGACAAAACTTGTAGAGTAGACATAGATGCGTACAAGACTGCAAAACAAAACAAGAACGTCGCCATATGGCTATGTCGCTGGATTTGGAGGGGATCAAACTACATACCTTTGCAAGGTCCAAGGTCCAGAATATAATGCAGCTTCGAAAAACAGACGTGCTGCCACGTTGCTCCCAACTTTAGCGAGTGGATGATAGCATGCAAACGTTGTAACTAAGCTCCTTTTTGCTTTCCCATTGGCCTTTAACTTCTGCCTCGCCGCAAAGAGGCCGAGGATCTCTTGGTGAGTATGCCTGGAGTTGCATGGGCAACATTTCTTAAATAAACAGAAAGGAAAGAGATCTTGAAGATGGTGTTGCAGCATTGACTGCAACCGCGAAGGATGGAACAATTATTGATTGTTGATGTGTGACTTGCTTGATTTTCTCATATGAGGCTTGAGTATTCTTCTTGGACTTGATCTTGTTGGCATTGTTGCTGCTACTCCTCCATCCAAAGCAGTTGATGAGCTTGTTGGAACTGAGATCCTGTTGATTGCCCTTCATATCCACAGCATGAACTTGAGCCGTGGGTTTCCAAATTACAAAATTTTTATATCCCGGCTTTGTATAAAACGTTCCATGCAAACCAAACAATTGAGTCCTCGACATGCAAACGTGACTAAATATATCTTGAAAGTTGTCCCGATCACTGCGCACCGTTGCGAGAACCCAAGTTCTGGGAAAAGCATCCAAGATATCTTGATAACAGTTTTGGTCAAAATCACGTTGTTGCTTGACTGCGCATGAAAAAATGACCTCTGAATCAAGAAGCGAGTGAATCATCTACTACGACTTCTATGATGATACCATATACGATTTTCTGGATTCCGCAATCCAGAAATTCTGAATTTCTGGATTCTGGATTCAGAACCTGCAACAGTGCAACAGCTGGATTGCACGAGTGTGATCCTCCCACCAGCATTTTTTTTTCCGTATCTCAAAAATACTTTGGATTACTAATTTTTACATGGCTGAAAAGAACTACATTGAGCATGGATATGTCTGCCTTACAAATTTCATGTTTCCCAACTTGTAGGGAACATTTGACAAGAATTTGATGGGCTTGTTGCAGACACGTCCAGAAACCCTCACCCATTTCACTCCAGAAAATCGCTCATTTTCAATATTCCAGTCAAACTGGCACTTTGAAACCGTCCCGTGACAACCATATGCATGTAGCTCGTTATCTTTTACCACCACCAGCTGCTTTATTGGCCCTCCATCCAGCTTGCCAGATAAACACTCCCAAGAAGCAGTATCCTCATTCCAAAAGTAAAGCCAATTTCCACCACTGTCTTTGAACCATTCCATTTTCACCAATAATACCTTGTGTAAAACTGCCATGGTTGGCATTATGCCACTCTCAACCACACTGGTGGTAAAAGGTTGTCTCCAAACCCTTCCATAGCTATCCAAATCCAAAAATCTGCATTCCAAATTCACTGTTTTCACTACCTTGAAAGTTATATGCTCGAAAGCACCAACAATTCCATCTTGAAACACAAGCAGCCTCTCAAGTTTGCAATTGCTAGGCAATTCTGCTAAAATACTCCACTCCTTTACACTTAAATCATATTTTCTTAAGGCAACCTCTAAGGTACACCATTTGGGGATTGCTTGAAAAGGTGGTGGTGCAAAGATCCCTCGTAATTTGCATGCAGCTCCTCTCAGAAAAGTTAACAAGATGAGCTTGCCCAAGCTCTCGAGAGTACATGATCACAAACCCCTCGATACAACACACGACTTCCCACGGTTTACCACCACCAATTGGGCATGGAAGTGCCTTGATCCCTAATATTTCATAAGGCAATTTTACCATCTTGTCCAACACTTCATTCCACTCTATAGACACGTCTTGCAAGCCTTGTCGAGTGCCCTTCTCCGCCCTTGACAAAATCACCATCCATATCTCCTCTGGTACCATTTGCAAAAAGTCAATAAACCCTAAACATTGGCTCTATCTTTATACTGATTGTTTAACTAGCCGTTATCTTCTGTGACTAGGCTGTTATAATTCATACGTGGCGCTGGTGTGGATGCCAGATAAGGCTTGTGTGCCACGTCGGCATGACATTAGGGCACGGTCGCAGCTATGGATGAGAGCTAGAGAGGAGAGCTCCAGGGCATGGCGCAGGAGATTGTGGAGGTCGTGACGGAGGCTGTGCCAGTTCAAGAGCAGGTCACGGTGAATGGCGAGCTCTGCCGCTCCAAGGAAGATCAAGAGCCGGTCAAGAACGACGTCTACACGGCGGCGGCTTACGGCGATCTGGACAAGCTGCGGCGCCTGGTAGAACAGGATGGATGCTCCGTCTCGGCGCCCGATCACGGCGGATATTTCGCTCTACAGTGGAGCGCTCTCAACAATCGCGTCGCGGCTGCTCAATATCTCATCGAGGTGAGTGGAGATTTCGCCTGTAATCGCTCGATC